GAATCTAAAATATTATTATTGTTTTCTTTGCCAAATCTATTGTGTTTAATTTGGTCGCAATTGGTTTTCAACGGCAGGCACCTATTCGGCCGTGAAGATGTCCCATCTGGACGCAGGATCCCTCTGATTCCCTCTGGCAGCAAGCAAGGGTTCTCCTTCATACCGCTGGTGAAGATGTCCCATCTGGACGCAGGATCCCTCTGATTCCCTCTGGCAGCAAGCAAGGGTTCTCCTTCATACCGCTGGTGGCAGAAATCATTGGTGCATGGGCGTCTGCTGCTGCCCAAGTGTTGAAAGGCATCGTGCGGGCTGCGGCGGCGCGGGAACAGGCCGATCTGGCGGCCTTCTTTGCTGAGTTCCTTCAAGAGGCTTCCGTTTTGGTGCGAAGCTATCGTGGAAGGGCTGATTTGCGTCGAGGCGGAAGCCCCTTCCAGTGCGGAAACCGCAGCTGCTTTGATCTTGGCGTCTTTAATTCTGGCCTTTTTGTACTGAGTTAAGTGAGGGTTGTGCTTGTACAGGGGTTGAAGCTGGTTTCCTGCATCTTTTTTTTTGCTCTCTCTACTCGAAGCTTAGGGCGCTGAGGCTTTGTTTTCGAGATTAGCCATCCTTTCTTTTGTATATTTCGGATGGCATTTGTCGTCCACGGCTGACGCGGCCTATCCTTTTTTGATGGGGGGCCATGGATTCGTCGGCATGAGTCCGTCCTCCCTTGTTTTGGCGCAAGGTTCTTTCCCTTCCAAGAAGGTTTTTCCCTGTAACGGCTTTGTTGATTATTCCTATGTTCCGTTGGTGCAGCCCGCAACGACGGGCAAAAGGCCAAAACAGCGCAGGGGGCGAAGGGAACAAACGGACCTCCAGAACCAACCTTCACGGTTAACCAACACAGAGCACACACCTAAACTCCACGACGCATTACAGAGGGGCACGGGGCATAATTCAGGACCAAATGGGGAACTAGTTAACGAAGCGGAGTGAAAAACAGCAAAACAAGTCCCCTCAAACGGGACCGTTGTCGATCAAGCCACATGGGCATGAAACGGCTGTTCAGATTCAACTGAATTAGGTGCACAATATGGTTAACCTCACCAGAAACCAAAGAATACCACACCTGCAGGAAAAGGACATGCCTGTTGCCTCATGGACATGTTGCATTGCAAACAGCTTGGGCAGCGGCAAAAAGGAAGTTTGTGGTAGTTCGGCAAGGCTTCACTGGAGCAACGTTGACAGTTCCGAGGGTTCACCAGGACAACAGGAGCAGCAGGACGTCGAAAAAGGTGCATAACCGAAAGGCCAACTATTTTCTCTACTTAGATGAGTTGCCACATTAAAAATGTAAATTCGGAAGTCCGTTCCACACTGGCGCTGAAATTGGTTCAGGCGCTTCCATGCACCGCTGACTTTCAACCAATGGGGTCTTGGGGCTAGCGGCCATGGGTAAGGCCCTCGAGTACGGAAGAATGACTCCAATAGTCTGGAGGCAAATCACTGGAGCGCACGTCGAGACTTGATCCAGCCCTGCCACAAGGAGACAGCGTTACCACAGGTATGTGGGGTCTACCGCTACGTAGTTCAGAGACTGTCTGTGCCACAAGCACTTTACCGATGTTGCAGTATCCATCCAACCATTAGCACCCAATCTCCACTTTCTAGACCACCTTCGAACACGGTAAGGGCTGCCAGGTGAAATGCCGAACAAGCTGCAGCTTTGCCTGGACTTTGGGTGGATTGGTGGATTCATGTGCTTCTCTAATTGTGATCAAATAAGCAACCACCGGGCCTGTGACTCATATATTTCTTTACAGTCTTTGACGCAGAAGCTGGACAAATCGAACGCGGCCCCGCAACATATGATCATCGTTATTCTCTCTTTTCCGCAGATACTGAGCGAAAGTCTTGTAGGTGATGGTCTCACAGTCCACCATGTCCCGGGTATTCTCCTAAGTGCAACAGGCATTCGCAAAGCTTGTACAAAGCTCCGATAGAAACCTCGTCCTCGAGGAAAAAATCAGACCAAATCCCAAGGTTCAGGCATATAATCTTCACAAGGCAGCTCCCTGGTTGGCGTGAAGGCTGGTAATGTGATGCCAAATCGAAAGCAAAGAAAATCTTAAAACATGTTTTAAACATGCAAATCTGCAGCTTCAAAGTGTCACACATCCAAATGGTCCCAGACACTTGCGACGGCCAGAGATGCTCCCAGGCAACTTGCTACGACGTTTTCGCTGTGTTTTGCCCTGCCACGACCTGCCCTTATTCTGTTTTCTAGCAGTGAATGTTGCGTGGCACCTCCCTTTTGAGATGTGGGATATCACTTATCACTCTTTGTAAATGTGTAGAAACATTCTCTTGAGCCCAAAAAAAGACAACTGGTGATCCAACAGCGAGGCTGCGTCAAGTGCAGCTTTTGGCAAAGTTCGAAGGAGGTGTTTTCTAGAAAGTTTGCGTAGAAATCAGATGCCAAAATATCCTATGGAGACCTTGTACAGAGATCTTGTGAGATCTCTTATAGATTCTTTTAGAGATCCCCAAGATTTCTGTGGAGATCTTGACCTTACACGGCAATAAGCGCCGAAAATGACCATGCAGCCCTGGATGGGGCCTTGTATGTACATGTCATGTCAAGTGTACCTTGCGAAGAGCTACAGGAAATGTCATGAAATGTCATGCATGTTTCTCTTGACGTCGCCACTGTAATGCTCAACTTCTGAAAGTCCTTAAATATCATTAGAATTCATTAGAGCAATATTAGAGCAATGATCAACAATGAATGGCTTTGACTTGCAGCAACAATTGATTGTCATTGTTTTGACGATGTCCTTATCGCGTCTGTACATGTGTGGAAAATCATCGCGTGCAAATCCTGAGCGTGCCATCTGCTTGGCAGGGGCAACAAATTTCTGAGTCTCTTTCACTGAAAATCCAAGACCACAAGGATCCAGGAAATTACATGTGTCAAGGTTGAAACACCCTGGCATCCGGATCGTTCTCCATCGGCATCGCTTTACACATCTTTTATTCCAAGCTTTGAGCAAATTGCAGTCATCATCCGCACCATCAAGCGGGCCTTAAGCCTGGACGCTGGACGCATGGCAAAGAGATGTAGCTCTACCAAGCCAACTAACTTAGCAGGTCTACACTAATTACAGGGAGAACCTATCCAATCTAATCGTATGCGCTCCCTCAACGCGATGCTTAACTACAGCTGGTGCCGGCTGGGGGGCAGGGTCGTGGTGAGATCGTTGCTGTCAATGCCTTCGGGGTGCTCCGTGTGTCTTCGGGTAATCAGAAAGGCTCCGTTCTTCGAACAACAAAGGCAAAGGTGTGAGGTTGCTTACGCAGCCGGATGTGGAATCTCAGGGAAATGTGGCAACAAACCCGCAATTCTCAAACATCATCTGTGGCAGTGTGGCAGCGCATGCGTCAAGTCATTGAATGATGCATAGCAAATACGAGACAGTGTCTTTGGGTATACAATGAAGCCATTCAATCCATTTCAAACCACTTCTTGGAACAGCCAGTGTCGCCGCCTTATCCTTATTTGGTTCACAACACAGTAGAAAACATGCCGCAAAGTGTCACAGCCCGCCATCCGCAGCCTGATTGCGATGATGTCGGTTTTGGACGCAGGTCCGCGGCATTTCAACAAGCCATCGATCATCTCCTCAAGGGTTCACACCAGAAGTGCCTAGCATGGGGTCATGTTGGGATACATGTCATTTAAACAAGCATAAGCAGTAGCCCAAATTTGCGTGGTTCTGTGGTATTTATTGACCCATACTCGGCATAGGATTGGGCGTTTTGGGCTTGGACTCAATCTCTCCTCAAACTCGAGCTCTCCGCTCATGTCAGCATCAAGAACATCAAACAAATCCGACTTGCAGGACAAATCAATCTCGGCATCTTCCAATGTATCCAGCAAACCATCGTGGCTGGCCAGCCAGTGATTGAACTCATCCCGGGTCACGACCACATCATATTCCGCCATATCTTCACGGATTCGATCTGTCAGCTCGGCGTACTCGTAAGTCGAGTGCGGTTTGCCATACCTAGCGACGCTGGTGCGATCTGCAAAAAAAACAATACATTAATACTACCCGGTTATGACTCACAATTTGCCATGGAAAATCCCACCCATTTTGAAGAACGGTAAAGCATCTATTTCTATGGGCCATCTATACATATCTATACCATGGCTATGTTAGTCATAACCAGAGGGTAATACATGGAGATCGCATATGATTGCATGCTGCACTGGATCTCAAAGACGTTCGTAAACTATTCAGCTGCGGATGAACCAGTGAAAACACCGGCTAAGAAAATAATTACCCTCTGGTAAACTAACATAGCTATTTATAGTGGATTTACCCATTAATAGCATGGTGATTTTCCATAGTTATGTTAGTTTCCCAGAGGGTACAGTTGATTGTCTTGAAGCACAGCAGCCAATGCACCCTCCATGGCAACATGACAACATTTGACAAAGGCATGTGCCTTTGACATTCCGCAGCCACAGCAGTGGCCTCGCCTACTAGTTGTTTAGTTCCTGTTCCTTCTGGAAGTTGCACAATCCAAATCAAAGGTCGGGGAAACGGAAGCCTCATCATCACTCATCAATATAAAGTAATATACATGTCAAGATATATCATAGTCATAATTGAATCATAATCATAACTCATCATATACATGTCAAGATAAGATATGTCTTAAGAAAGTGTCAAGATACATTCCTCGAAGTTCCTCCCACTTCTCCCTGAAGATCTTGGAGACTCTTCGCGCAGTCCCAGGTGGCCCATGCATAGCTTCTTTCATGGCCTCGACTTGAATCCATTGGTCCATTAGTCCATGGTTGTCCCAACACAATGTGAAGAACATTGAAATCATTGAAGAACTGGCCATGGATTCCATGGATTCGGAAGTCTCATTCTGAATGGCCAGCCTCGTCTTCGGCCTCTTTGCGAAGAACTTTTTGCAGAATGATACCCCCTCAGTGTTTCTCAAGC